CGGCGGCAGCTGCAACTGGCCCGCATGCGGCTGTGCCGAGCCTCCCAAGAACAAATAAAAGTGTATGCATCTGCAGCGTCGCCATCGTCGTCCTGAGGTATGCCTTCCCCCCCCTCGCGGTTGCTGGGCGCAGCAGATCTGACACGGTGTTTGTGGCAGTGATGCGTACTCGGAGGGGCACAGGGGTCATCGGTCAATGTTGGGACACGACGTCTGTTGAAAACGTACGCACATGTTCATAGTTGTACTATATTCACACCGTGAAAGATCCTTTTGGCGCGAGTTGTTAAGATATACATGTGAGCCTCAAGATGTTGAAGCGATGCCCGGGCATGGCTGGACAACTGGCTGCTCGATGCCTTGTTCAACAGTGAGCGAGCCCATCGGTCACGATACCCAAGGCTCGCCAACGGTGCAATCACTATATATACGAGTATGTCTTCTCGACCGCGCTGCACTTAGCGATCATCGGCACAGGAACGCCCTGGGGAGATATAAAGATCTCGAGCATCCCGATGGCCTCATCGCCGATGTTCTCGATGCATTGCCCGCGACATCTTTCAGCGTGCGCGTTGCCTGCACTGTGAACGCCGTCACTTTTTCTGTCCCGGGATCAAGTACGACCACCACTGCGGGGAGAGAGGGAAAGCCGTCAGCACCGCAGCCCAGCACGGACACAGAGATACGCCGCGCGCACCTCATCCGCGTACGGGTGCCAGTGCATCGAGGCCCCGAGTAAGTTATTAGTCGCCGTCCGTCGCACATATCCCGCTCAGCCTGCGAAATTCTGTGGCGGACAGGTCTCACTGGGACCCACAAGGTCCAACAAGGCGGGATCCCAGCTGCATGGTGAGTGCGCCAGTCTTCTGCCGTGTCCCCTCTCCGCCGAGCAGACGTGCACGTCTCGCCAGCAAAGCGCGCCGACCGTAACCGAGCCCAAGCGGCGCGGAGCTAGTCGCAGCCCCGTGGACCCCGTCTCCACATCCCCAGACACCTACCCGCGCCCCATGCTGAACCTGAAAGCCCCAAATCCCACAGCGATCCACGGCCCTGCACTCACCCAGGCCCGGAGCTCGAGCACACCACGCACACGCCGCATGCCACACGCAGACGTCCAACACCAGATGCGCACGACCCACGTGCATTTGGATATGCCAAAGGGGCTGAACTTGAGGATGCCCGTCCGTCCTTATAGCCACCTGTCATCGTCGTCGCCATCGCACGGGTGAAGAGACGGGCGTGCGGACTGTCCGCGTCGTCGCTGTGACGACAGCGCACAGGCGACTGTCTACGCAGCCTGCGAACCTTCGAGCTGGCGGTCAATCCGTGCTGATCAGCGTTCAACGTGCAGAGGATGGGCAGCAGCTCTATACGTGGCCGTAGCCTGAACCTCGCCGCAAAATAGGGTATGCGGATCCTCACGTACGTCACCTCACAACAGTCTACTTTCAGGCAGGTTCGTGTCGGCGGGCAGGGGTCGGTATCTGGACGCCGTGGGTGCTTGGGAATAGCAGGACGTATGGACGTGTGCGAAGCTTGTGGCACAGCGGTCTCTCGAGCTGGGCTATGGTTTTCCGAGTGCCACTTGCCATCGACGATTGAGAAGCCAGTCGCTGCAAGGACTTGTATTCAGCTCTTGCATAAGTCAGTGGGCATTCCCAGCACACAAGTGCAGTGGCATCACACTGTACTGCTCCGACAAGTGCTGTCAGCCTTAGGTACACTCACCCCTGTGCATGATGCATCTTGTTGTCTAAAGCACCTGGGCATGTCCACAGAATGGAACTGGTGAAGGTAAAAGTAAAGTACTGTGAACATTCTCAATGACATCATGGATGCTACTGGAACAACTGCTTGGAGACAGAGGATTGAGAATTGGACACCTTTATTGAGGAAAATTGTTGAAATATAATAGTGGCAATAAACCTTACCTGTGTTGACTAGAC